ATTGAGTGTAGTGTATTGACTGGGGGTGGAACGCTTTTCACTTTCACTGTATATGTCTCTTCCTTCCTCTCTACTATTACTTCCCTCATTACTTATTTTGGTTTCTCTTCCATTTTCTTTTGCACGTTTTCCTGTATACTTTTAATTTCCTCCATTTTTCCATTTCCTTTCTCTATTTCTTTATTATTTTTCATTAATATTTTCTTTACTTTACTTTGTTCTTCTTTCATGTTTTTTCTTCATACTCCTCTGTAAGTCTCTTATTTTTTTCATATCATCTACAAAACCCAGCAATGTTTTTAAAATTGATGCGAGGGTTTTGTCATTCTCTAATATTCTTTATTTGTTATCTATCATTGTTTCATTCATTATCCGTAACATACTTTTCGTCTCCCCTCTTTCACTATCTTTCGCTTCCTCGTCTCTCCTACATACCTCTTTTCTTTGACTTTCTATTCCTCCCCTCTCATTTTCACTCTCTTTCATTCTTATTCTTTCAAGTAATTCCTTTATTATGTTTAGCATTTCATTTATTCCCTCATTTATTTTCATCTTACCCGCGACCGACTTAATCGGCCCCTAAGGTTCCATTTGCTCTGATCTTCAATTTCGCGTCTTTCGCTCTTCTTTCTAAATCACTTTGGGTCGACTTTTGGCTATTTCTACTTCTCGTGTGCGTTGGGGGTTCAAATGTATTTGATTTCCGTGAAAAAATTAAGTGTATATACCGTATATAATTCATATGCATATAGTAAAAAGCGGTTATTTCAATCATCAATTTATTTTTAATGATAAATAGAACTACATTCGCATATTATTTTTGAAATCGCCTGCCAACCTAAATTTAATCAATCCGGTGTACTAATCAAAAGCAGTTTCTTTTATTGGCTCCCACTAGCTGTACTTGCGTGCTACTTGCATACAAGATTTCACTAAGACGACGCCCTTTAGCCGCTTATTGTACTTTCAGAAATTTCTTGTCTTGGTTACATTTAGTGACATTTATGGGCGTTACTATAGTCGCAGCGTCCCTGTACAATGAGGAATGTTGCAAATGATATACAAACCAACAATTACTTTACTCATCACAATGTAACTTAAGCTGCCAATATCAAGATTAGCCATTTTATATTTCATATCATTATTATTTCGAGTATTAACGCAGTTTAAAACTAAACAATACTAACCGCGATAATTAATATTAGGAAAGCCTATAGCACAGCGTTTAGTATTTATTTTATATATGTACTTACTTGATTTGTGATTCACAAATCTTTGCCAAATATTGTCGCTTTATGTTAACCACAGGGAGAGAGAGAGCTCTGCACCTTACTACGTGATGACCAAAAGTGAACTAAGACAGTGAGCTCTGGTGAAATCGCCTTAAATAGTCTCAAGTGGGGTTAAACTTCAAAATGGCGCCCAACGTCCGAGTTTACCAACTTTTGAACTACCCTCTTTAATAATTAAGAAACTAATAATGTTATTGTTATCGCAGGTGTTGAGGAATTACATTTATCTCAATCATTAAGACAAAGGCAATGTTTGATCGATTCATTGCCGGATTTAGGGGAGGGCAACCGGGGCGAAAGCCCCCACAAACGGGGGGCCCCCACAATAGAGACTTCGGAAAATAAATCTTTCAAATTCCAACTAGTAAACACTAGTAAACATGTTTTCGGTTCCGTTCGTTAACTCTAAGATTTAATTTCAGATAATTCTTGTTTCCGTTTATATTTATATGTGTTTGTTCAATACTAAGGCAATCTACTTGGTTCACAATAAATTATTTATTGAAAAACTCGACTGAAAAAAAATTGTTCACTTTATTTGGAAAATAATTTGGGGTGAGGGGGCCTCCGCTCCTCTGTTGCCCCGAGGCCTCTGGACCTCTAAATCCGGCCCTGGATCGATTATAGCTAACATTATGCGTGGGCTAAGAGTCCCTCCGGCCACCCACGTCCTAGCGCTGAAAGAGGCCTCGTGGATAACTTAACTGATTAAAATCGTAAGATAAATCAATGAATCTTGACAACAAGTAGATACTGAAAAAAGAGAGGCCTCTCCCATTAGATTAGTTTACGCTACGCCATTGCTGAGGAACTCGATGGCTCCAGTGGTTAGCGCGTTCGGCTGCGGTCGTTGAAGTTGAGCAACTTTCTCAGTGGTCGGTCATTGGATGGGTGACCAAAAATTTACTATCTCGAGCTCCTCCGTGCTTCAGAAGGCACGTTAAGCCGTTGGTCCCGGCTGCATCTGCAGTCGTTAGCACCCACCAATCCGCATTGGGCCCGCGTGGTGGGTCATGGCCCAATCTCCCTAATCCATCCATAGGGAACGCCTGTGCCTCAGCAGTGGGGACATTAATAGGCTGATGATGATGATGATGACACCATTGCTGTTTAATACAGGCACTCCAGTTGGCTCTGCCTGACCTCACCTCGGCTGAAAGATTACACAGATAAATGATTTTTTGTTTCCAGACTGACAGACAGATTTGATGCGGAGTAGAGTTCTTAGTTAAACTTCAGGTCAGGGCTATAGGAACAAATCTATTCATGCATTTTAGCGAGTTAAAAAAACAGAAAATCCTTTTGGTTTTTTTTAACAGGCAGATGCTCAGTTTTTCAATTGTTTTGTTGATTTTTTTTATGAAAATTTTTATATCAAAATTAAATGAACTAGGTACCTAATTTTACTACATAAATATTGTACGGGATAGCAAGGTAAAACCAAATACAATCGCGAGCCCCAATGACAAAAAAAATGAAACTGTTATTAATTAATACCTGTTATAAAATAAATTAAGAAGCGTAGCTGTTATAATTATCGTGATTTATCAGAAGTTAATTATAGTTTCCGTTAAACACATAAGTAGGTACATCGTATAATAATGCTCAATATTGTACTTACCTTGTTTCTTTTAATTTTGTCGTAATTAATTTCCGTTGTCACCGAATCGCCTAATTGGGTACTAGCGTGTCAACTAACAGCCATTTTTCGTTCTCGGAAAACAAATTAATATTTATTCATATGATATTCGTACCCTATCTAGGTAGGTAGTGTTTGAGTATCAGGTTCATTGTATAAAATGTATTTCGGACGTTTAAGTTCAAAGGTTGACGTTGGCAGCCTTAATGGTGCTAATCAAATCAACTCGCTGAGAGCCAGCCCGTGTCCGGCCGAATATGCGCCTGAATAATGAAGGCAGCGTTTGATGAACAACGACGCTAAAAAGCCTTCGGATTTCCCGAACATATTATATTAAGTCGCACATTCATACATTAGTAATTTATATTGTTTTAAACTTTCATGGTCACTAATGCTTTCATGGTCACTAAAGACGACGTCAGAGGGTAGACCGATATGTCTGCCAATAACATCTACCCGCAATTACTTCAGTTACTCCGTGATCATGGTGCTTGCAACAGTGCCGAAATATCGGAGACTGATAAAAAATTACATAGTAAAAATCCCGTTAATATCTATGATATTTGTAATTTATGTTATTTAAGGGTTACCGTCGATCTCCAAAGAGTAGTAGCACTGTTCCAAGCGCCATGATCACGGAGTAACTGATTACCGGTTACTCCGTGATCATGACGCTTTCAATAGTGCTGAAATAACGGAAAATCGCTAAAACAAGGTACATGGTAACAATCCCGCAAATAACATAAATTACTACAATGTTAGTGACCATGAAAGATTTAAACCATATTCAATTCAATTCAATTCATTTCAATTCAATTCAAACTCATTTATTCAGTCTAGGCTGTTACAAGCTCTTGTGAAAGTCAAACGCTACGCCATCGGTTCGTAAATCTACGGCGGGAGACCTTGTACTGAGAAGAACCGGCAAGAAACTCAGCAAGGGCTATTTTTTTCTCCCTGTTTTGTTACACACAGTGTCGTCAATTGAAAGATGACATCAAAAATTGAATACATGTGTTGATGTCAACTTCCATCACATTAATATAATTAATTAACAAAAGTTAAGTATACATATAACACTTACATACATGTTATAATGAGATATATGAAATGAAATGAAAGTTTATTTTCATGAAACATACACAGTCAGGTCATAAGTATTGTCACACAGTAAAAACTTTTCTTTTAGAATGCTGGCCACAAAAAAGTTTATTGAATTCGAATTTCGAATTGTTCATGAAAATAAAAATGTATACTTTTAAGAATTTTACTCGTTTTTAAATATGGAGTGGACGCTTAAAGAAGACCGTATTGCATTTATTGCGTTGCATCGTTGCGGTTACGCGCCAATTCAAATTTAAAGGAAATTGCTCAAATTGGCCCAAATGCACAAAAAATATTGACATACACAGTAATCCTTGGCGTAATTTATAATTTAATTTACAATCATTAGATTTTAACGGACACCTTTGTATAATATATTCATTTTAAAAAGGACTTTTAATTTTACCGGTTTAGAAAACATACGAATCATTTTTAATGGCTATGGGTGTAGTAACATTCAGCCAAAGACTGATCGAAGTTGTTTATATAACATAATGAAGCTACTGATTGAAGATATGACTGTATAACCTAAATCTCTTAGCTTTCTTTGGTTAACGAGAGTTTGAAAATTCTCTCTAATCTGTGGCTCATTCACAATCATTACACAGTTTCTGTCACAGAGTACCTTATTATAACCGGAAATGCATAGGTGATACCTGATTTTAAGTTACTTTAAGAACAGGCAACTATCTGTTAATCTACATGCTCTATATACCTGAATCTAATACATAATTTCGGTACTTGGCTTGATTTCTCTAGTTTACTATATAACTTATTTTTTATTGTTTTAATACCCATGTACCTATTTGCAAACATAACCACAAAATCGTTCAGTGTATATGGTTTTTAGAAGTTCTCAGGGGTGTCCGTCAATAATATTTGTTTCTACAGTAATTTATACATAGTTTCGAATCTAGGAAACAATTTTTCATGATTATTGGTCTTTAGGCCAAACATGTATAGAAGCTGAGCAATCTTCTTTACTTTTTTTAATTGGACGTATAAACAGGAAGTTAACCATTGTTAAAATAAAAGACACAGCCATAAAATATAACGTATATATTTATTTTTGCACATTCCATTACATTAGTTGTAAGTCAGACATGAGGTTATAAGAAGATCACATTGTCTTGTCAGCGATTAAAGACAGAGTCACAATTCACAAACGAGTAAATTCATTGCATTTAAGTTAATTTCATTCAAACTTATTCAACAGGAATACGTAATCTCGCCTAATTAATGAATACGCGGTCACATGGCTGTAGTCGAATTTGAGGTAGGGCGGAAGTAAAAAAATATCATAAAATCTGCCCTCAGAGCACTGGCTCCTAAATCAGTCACCATGTATATCAATGTACATTCAATAGCTATTGCAGCATTAATCTAAGTGTCGCCGCACACGGGCCACCGACCACAACCACAAAACGCCGCCACCGGCATATTTCTTGTAGTTTTCATACATTTTATATGGACTCTCCACACACGGCACGCCGCGCCGGTGGCCGCCACACGCTACAAATCGTCGCTGTTCGCTTCTTGTGGCCCGCACCTGCCACGTAATGCGCAGATACAAAACGCCGCCACACGTCACTCGCGCAATTCCCCACTCTCCCCCTTACCTTAGTCGGCCGCTGTCGCGCGCTTCAGCCACTTTGTGGCTGTGGCGTGTGGCCCGTGTGCGGCGACACTTAGATTAATGCTCATGCTCTGTCACAGAAATTATTTGTCTACGAATAGCTATTGAATGTACATTGATATACAATATAATATACATAATCCTCAATGATGAAGAACAAGGGAACAAGATGGTTGAACTTCAAGATTTAGATGTAGATATTCACGTCTAGGGAAGGCCTGTGCCCCAGCAGTGGGGACATTAATAGGCTGATGATGATGATGATTCACGTCTGAGTGAGAGTGAGGTAATAATTTATTGTTGGGTGGGGTGATATGAGTAAATAGATACAACCAAAACTACTATTTAGACAGTGGCGGCGCTAGATGTGGACGTCGGCGACATCAAGTTCGCGAGGCCTATTTTACTTCGCAGTAAAAAACCGATAAATTAAGTGAGCCAAATTATAAAATAACGTATGAGTAAGCTAAGCTAAGTAGCTCGATGGCGCAAGTGGTTAGTGCATTCGGCTGTGATCGTTGAAGTTAAGCAACTTTCGCAGTGGTCGGTCATTGGATGGGTGACCAAAAATTTACTATCTTGAGTTACTCCGTGCTTCGGAAGGCATGTTAAGCCGTTGGTCTAGGTTGCATCTGCAGTCGTTAGCACCCGCCAATCCGCACTGGGCCCGCGTGGTGGGTCATGGCCCAAGCTCCCTATTCCATCCGTAGGGAAGGCCTGTGCCCCAGCAGTGGGGACATTAATAGGCTGATGATGATGTATGAGTAAACGAGTTTTATTGTTGATAATCAAATGATGACAAAAAATAATTACGAATATACAAAATTTAATTACAAAAATAGTGTTGCCAGACAGACGATTCTGAATACCCGTAAAGTACTACTCGCTTCCATCACGCACGTGTTCCAAATTAATAAAAGTCATTATCATCTGCTTAGCTTTTTCCCCGAATTGTTCGGGGTCGGCTACCTAAGCCAGGCCAGGAAAAACGAAAATAAATAGGTAACTTGTAAAAATTTTTTCGCCGACGCCTAGCGCCGCCACTGTATTTAGATCATATTGTTTTTGAAAACTTATTATAAAAATTAATATATTAATAAAAAAATATTTAAAACAGCTGAATTCTACAATTCGCCATATTATTAAAAATGCGAAGAACTTCGTTTAGATCAACTGATTTTGTTTTTTTTTTCAAAGGTCGAAAATATCATATCAGCCATTCTCTCGTGACCCATTAAAGTTGAAAACGTATTGATAGAAATAACAATTGTATTGATTTTTGAGTAAAACACTCTTTACCGTACACTTCACTTAACCAAACTACAAACAATCATAATCAATCTTTAGTTAATGTTTATTATGTACGGGATTACCCGTACGAAAGATTTGCAATAGTATGGGGAATTCCCTCTGCATCACAAATAGACCCATCGCTTCATGTGACGCTGCAAATGCCATCTATACACAGAACAAAGAATTATTATAATATGAAATGAATGTCACAAAACGGTGCTATGTTCGGAAAACTTTAAATAGGTACTCATGGCTACAATTGTTTTATCACAAACTATGAACAAACAATTTAATTATAAAAAAATCTTAGTTTTTGGTATTTTTAAAGTAGGGCATTGCCCCACAATGCCCCCTCCCCCCCCCCCCTTAGCTACGGCCGAGCGCGGTCAACCATAATGAAACTATGTACTTAAACATAATACGAAAATCTGCATTTTCATTTCAGCGACATCTATCCAGTACCGAACAGGTTGCTTTTTCATAGTCAACGTTTCTCTGTTCTGTCACTAGATGGCGTTATCTTAGTTCATAATGCCATTCGGCATTTCACTAGAGTCTGTGCGGAAAGAGAATGGGATTTAGATTGGAGGGCGCTGTAGTGCTTTTCTACCGTATTTGTAAGATTTTACCCCTTTTAGACATGATTAAATACAAAAAACCGCAAGAAATCACAACAACAAACAAATCCGTATCAATACAAAACTTTGACGTTTTACAAATTGCTGGGGTTGATTGCCAAATAAAAATCTTAATGTTAGTTCCGTTTTTCGCCACGCCCATTCTCTTTCCGCACAGACTCTATCACCTTTATTTATTTCAAGTTTTATTTTCACATTATATGATCTCGAGGCCACTGTTTTCTTTTTATTAATATTAAAACACTTTATTGAAAACTGCTTGTAGTAATAATCTCATTCTGAACTCTACGAATAAAACCTATACGCACTGATATTTACGTTGCTTGTGAATTGACACTAAAAATACTATTAATGTAAGTTTTTTTAACTGTTAAACTTTGTATCCTACCGAATAACAAATGAACCAGTCCCTTAACACAAACCAATGTCTCTGCTTAGCCCGATGGTTGACTGGTAGAGAATGCCATGTGGCATTAAGTCCGCCATTTGTAACAAAACAATAAAGAGTAAATAAATAAATAAATAAAATATCGAATTCGAATAGTTTGCGAGTGCGAACTGTCATGGCCAAATGTGTATTGATTTTTAGTTCTCGTTACGTCCATCGTGGCGCTGCTCCTCAAGTTTCCATACAAAATTTAGAATTCGATTTATTGGTTCGTGCTAAGGGTACTGTTAATTAAAGTACTTTGTATTCTATCGAATAACACAAATGAACCAGTTGAGCGAAATCGAATATTGCATTTGCGTTGCTTTTTACATTAAACCATCTATAATGGATAAGAAATTGTATACAAGCGAGGGAAATATGAACGCCCGTTTTCGTTTAAAATTTAATGTATGATCTGCATTCAAGCATGCGCATCTCAGAACAAGATCTAAGGCACAGAAAGAGTAAAGCGGGATTTCATGCAGTGCGGTTGGCGTCTTATTTTTATTATTCTTAAATCCATTCTAGTGGATATTGTGAAATAAAATTGGTGTGATTTTGTGTTACAACTGTCTGCGCGACTGAAGAATTAGAGGAATCTTTAAAATATACCCTATTCCGGTCAAGAGGACTTGAGAACTTTATTGTACTTGACTACCTCACAGAAGCTTATCGAAAGAGCCAAGTCGATACATTTCGTGGCAAACACTCCTAGAAACATTAGAATGCCTCACACCGACATTATAATGTAAAAAAGGGATAATAAAACTTAAGACTAGGCTGTATGGGCATTGTTCCCTTTGCCTTCCCTGAAAAGGGAGAATCTAAAAAAATCTAACGTCATAGTATTACTTCTATGCTTTAGTGTTCCGAGATGCGCAAGGAGAAAATGTCTCCATCTAATGTCACACATAAAGATAATCTTTCATTCGGTGGCATCAAAAAGTGCGCTTTTTAAATTTTTTTGGCAATGATTTCTAAAACATTCCGCTCATCAATAAAAATTGATTCTTCGATTTTAAATCCGTATTTGATTGTTTAATGCAATAAGCAACACTGAACTGTGGAGCACATGAAAGAATCAAATATTAGTGTCCTGAATTATAGCATACTCACAGCTTGCTCTCCGATATATTTAAAGTAACATTCATAACAACTATAATATTATTATGTCTAAAATATAATTCATTTCCATCTAAATACATCGATATGATTTTGCAACACCTATAACTCAAAGGGAAGGAAGAAGAATTTAATTCCCTTGGTTTTTTATTACTATTTCTTCAAAATGACAAATCTTGTGTGATTATTTAAAATATATTTTTTCAGCTAAGTCTAGGAACAATCCTGGAACTTCCCGAATAGACAACATTTATTTATTTATTTCATTCCGGCACTTAATTTGGCTATTCGTGCTTGTATTTTTTTATATCTTTTTTCCCCATCTTGGGAAAGGCAAAGGCAGAGCCATGCAGCCATAGTCTTCATTTAAAGGATTTTTTTTGTTTCTTTTTTCTATAAGGCCGAAGCCACTTCTTCAATCATAAGATATTTGTCCTGAATAGTCTTTCTAATCCATTTTCAGTTTAGGTACTTATTGTTTCCTCCCAAATTTTCATTATTCATACTTGTTATTTATAAACTTGACAACAGTTTGTCCTCATCATATTGTATAAGGAATGAAAAGGATAGGCTAATGTCAAGTTCACAAATAGCGAACACGAATAGCCAAGTGAAGCGCCGGCGTCAAACAAACATACAGATTTGCTTGTAAGCGAATAGTTTGAAGTTAAAAAAAAATAAAAACACAGACATTAGACATAAATAGACCATTCAATATAATATAATATAATGAAATATAGAAGTGTTTTACACTCAATAACTATTTATTATTCTAATATATTCTATCTATTCTGAACCAACCAAATAGATTTAACACAACAACTGATAGATATAAAAGCAAGCTGTCTCTTTTTCTCATAAGCAGTATGAAAAAGACAACCTACATTTTAATGTTTAGTCGTTAATCCAGAATAGATAAAATTACTTCTATTCAACACCCTTGTACAGTGCGATTGGCTTATTTGCATCCATATAATCAAAATGTACCCATGGGTATACAATTACGACCTCAATAGGGATGACTATTTTTTTTTTCTTCGTTTATCAGGTAGATTATCAAAAAGTATTGGACACGTATTTTTTCTTTTTTCACATAATATAAACATTTTGAGATATATTGATTTGAAAAGTCGCATGACGTCACGTTTGAGTACACTTATAAGTGAAAATTCACTCAAAAGTGACGTCACGAGCCCCTACTCCCAAACTTTGACGCGCTATAACTTTGTCATTTTTTGGTGGATTGCCCAAAGAAAAAATATGTGCCCATTATTTTTTGATCATCTAACTGACGGACTAAATAGAATTTCGTTTACTGTGCCCCGTCATCACCCCTATTCTTTATAACCCGTAATACAGTCGAAATTTATGTAGCTAAAGTACAAAGATATTTTTAACAAACGAGTGTTTTATGTTAGACATAGTATTTGATCTGTAATTTCATAGCCATAAGGTACACTTTGCTATGTACGGATACAATAATTAGAGCTTAAGACGATAAAACGGACCTTCAAAAGGTCTCACAGATAAAAATATATATATTTCGAAATACAATTAAAGCCTTATAGGAATTGTAGCAGTTGAGATCTGCAGATATTTCACGATTTCTATATTAACCTGAACCCATTATTTTGTGGTACAAATCAGATATTACTTTAAAGTAAGCTAAGTACCAACATTCGGCTGTTTGTTTGTTTTCATTATGCAAGTCAGATCTTTATAACTAACGTCATGAATATAATTTTTATATTTTTAAGCATGTTCTGCTCGATGTTGAAATCTGACAAAAAAAATCAACCTTTTTTTACTACAAAAAAATTCAAAAAATTTTTTACTACAAAAAAATTCAAAAATTTTTTTACTACAAAAAAATTCAAAAATTGTTTTTACTACAAAAAAATTCAACAATTTTTTTACTACAAAAAAAAACAAGTTTTTTCTAGTAATATTTTCTTTAGGTTTATAAAGTTGAATTTTGCTTGTACCAACCTCGCGCATCTTGCAAAAAGTAAGTGCGAGAGGAACAGAATTATCGCTTTAATTCATTTATTATTATTGGCACGGGTTATAGCTTATAGCCATTTATATATTATTATGTGAAAACATATGGATTATTTACTTATATATGGGTAGCTCTAATTAACTCAAAATGTTCTAACTGCTTTGAGTTTTATAAAACTTCGTTAAGATTTACATTCTGTTGAGAAAAGAATACAGTTTGTAGTTACATGATGTGTGGTAGTATATACAAACATACATAAATTGATATTGCATTAAAAAGGGACAGGTTGGATTGTCAGCATTCTTATAACTATACATTTACTTAGAATCTTAAATATGCATATTCCATTTTCTATTTTGGTAAAAATTTAAGCGAAAGAAAATAATAAATAAAAATATACTTCATTTTTATTTGACTGATGATGTAATGTATATTTTATGATAGTCATTTACGTTCCAATTATAATAAACCCCAATTTTTTTCAAAATTATTATTGTTTCAATTATATATTATATTATATTATAAAATGAATAAATTTAACAATTAAATATATAGTTATCGATCGAAAACCAAATAGTAAAATAATATATTCAACAAAAACGCCTTTTGTCATACATAATTTTTAGTCATAACATAAATATTTTATCACTTTCTAAAAATAGTCATCTTACGTACCTATCATTGCAAGAACTGTTAAACAATTAATGTTTCAAACAATTAAGTACAAACAAGATAATTTGCAATTATAATCGCCTTTTGTACAAGCGTCGAGATTCGTACACACAGCTTTTCACGTTGAACAAATCTTTCAAGAATTATCCAATGAATTTTCAACCTTAGCTGTTGGGTTTAAAGTTCAAAATCTTGGGGTCACCCGACGTGCTCAGAATCTAGAAGATTATAAAATAACATATGCAAACAGATTAACTGCGTATGATAAAATAAGCAATTATTAAATATCTACCTAGTAATTTATTACATAGCTTTTATTGAAATAAGTTCATAATATTTTATCAAATATAGACACTATTATATACACACATCCAAGTCCGAATTTCAAGCCCGAGTCGTTAATATTATAATATGTTTTTATAGCTTAAGATATATTTACCTTACACATAGTATGTAGGCCTAATTACCAAAGAACATCGAAGATCATCTTTTTAGGTAATAGGGATGATGACTATTTTTTTTTTACTTCGTTTATCAGGTAGATTATCAAAAAGTATTGGACACGTATTTTTTCTGTTTTGACATAATATAAACATTGCAGGGATATATTGAATTGAAAAGTCGCATGACGTCACGTTTGAATACACTTTTAAGTGAAAATTCACTCAAAAGTGACGTCACGAGCCGCGCTTTGCTTGCCGAACTTTGACGCGCTATAACTTTGTCATTTTTTGGTTGATTGACCTAAAAAAAATACGTGTCCATTATTTTTTGATCATCTAACTGACGGACTAAATAGAATTACGTTTACTGTACCCCGTCATCACCCCTATTTATAGTGATTATTGAAAAAAAAAAGTATTGCGTTGTAAAATGAAAAACAGTGGCCGGTCGAGCGTGGCAATAAACCTGCTGGTGGCTTTTTTTTCTTTGAAAATGGAAATCATGCATCAATAACAAATGACAAATATTCTTTTTTGTATTAGGTTATAGGTAGCTACCAACTTCTTAAGCAAAACCACAGACAAATACACTTGCGTAGACGCTTTTGTATGTCAAATTGCTACTGCGCAGGCTTCCAGTAGAAATACCAACCATACGATGTTTTGCTGTAATTTTAAAATAACCACGTATTTATTTAGAACGCTGCCACCACTGTTCTCCAATTTTCCGCCTTAAAATCAAATTAATAGATTTCATTCTCTTTTGTAAGGAGACAATAAGTCATGTCTTCATTTTTAATCGACAGTTACATAAAAGGTTACTATTTAAATAAATAAAAATCATCCAAAATAAAAATTCTGTACGAAATTATATTTATTAATTTCAGTTAGAATAGGTTTCCATCTTATGCTAAATGTTTTTTATTAGTTTATAACAACAAGTCTTCTGTTATTATGATTTTGACTAGAAGTATGAATACTTGATAAATATATGTTTTATAAGTACATACCTATATATTTTATATTTTGGAATGTAAAGTTACATAAACAGTCTACAAAAAGAAAGATTTTTTTTAAATACATAATTATAAAACAAAAACAGTGTCAACATTCAAAATACGATTTTCATGTGTTTTAAGAGTTTTCGTAATATCAATCCACAGTCCGAAAACAAGGAATTACTTATTTCGTCGAAACCAGACATTTACGAATATTAGTTTTTCATAAATAGCCTTATGACCTTATTGTGATCGTATAAGGTATTTTTTCCGTAGTTAAAATATAGGGATAGTTTTTTTTTTCATCATTACTTAATTAATTATCTATAACATCAGATCTGTAAAATTTCTAAGTAAGATCTGAAGACAAAGTTCATGACCAATATTGGCAGTATTTTTTTTTTAATTTATTAGATTTATTAATTGAGAGATGTAGCAACGCGCCCGTTTTATATTGATAAAAAATAAAATAATTTTTATTTCAAAATAAAATAAACTTTTTTTTTAAGCATTTTAACTACTGGATGTTTAAAACTAAAGAAAATTTTACTAGAAAAAATTCCACGCGGACCAGGCAGCAGACGGGACTCGAACCCGCACCTTAAGATATCCGGGCATAATGGTCAGTGCTATCGCCCGGCGGGTCCCTAGGCCGCGAGGATTTTTTTCTAAAAATAAATTCTTTACTTTTATAATAAACATGTTAAAACTTAAACAATGAAATATATGAATAGATAAGTCTCAGTTGGTAGCAGCTGCTGTAGTCTTATTAAGTTCATACTTAATAATCTTTCTTCTGGAACAATACATAATATAAAAAGTTAATAATACATAGTCTCACTTAATCTCAATAGCCGTATTTATTATCATGGTAAATATTTGTACTACGCGATTCAAATAAGAATAGGAAAGCCAATGACCTCCATCTGTCAAATGTCACTTTAAAAGTACAGTTTGCAAAAAAAACTTGGAACAGTTTTTTTAGCACTGATCTTATCTTCTAAGAAGAAATTCCAAAAATTTGTAACTAAAGAAGGAAATAAATCAAATGAAACGTATAGAAAATGAGTACTGGAAAAGGGAAATATAAAAACTTTAGTTTTATTATAAAAACAGGTAATAAAAAGACCATAAGGTAGTTATAATTTTTATTTTTTAAAGAATGTAACTGCTTTATTAAATCTAAAGAAAATATAACTAGAAAAAATTATAACTATAATTGCTATTTCTTCTTTCAAATGTTTAATACTTGCAAAAGTATTCATTTGACATTGTGGGTTACTTATAATGCGAAGAAATGGCGCTGCCTTGCAGCTTAAGAATGGCTAGAGGAATTTCGACGCGGTCCGTGAGGGCCGCGGTAGCATAATAGGGATGATGACTAATTTTTTTTTCTTCGTTTATCAGGTAGATTATCAAAAAGTATTGGACACGTATTTTTTCTTTTTTCACATAATATAAACGTTGCAGAGATATATTGATTTGAAAAGTCGCATGACGTCACGTTTGAGTACACTTATAAGTGAAAATTCACTCAAACGTGACGTCACGAGCCCCTACTCCCAAACTTTGACGCGCTATAACTTTGTCATTTTTTGGTTGATTGCCCAAAGAAAAAATACGTGTCCATTATTTTTTGATCATCTAACTGACGGACTAAATAGAATTTCGTTTACTGTACCCCGTCATCACCCCTATTGGTCAGTGCATTCGCCCGGATTGCGAAGGGTGCGGGTTCGAGTCCCGTTTGCTGCCCGGTCCGCGTGAAATTTTTTCTAGTTATATTTTCTTTAGACATAAGGTTGTTTTTATGTTGTTATATTGTATTTCTATATATCGTAATTCTGTAATAAAGTATTTATTTATCTGTAAAAAAGACAATTTTTATCACATAGTATAAAGCAAAGTCGCTTCCCGTCTGTCTGTCCCTATGTATGCTTAGATCTTTAAAACTACGCAACGGATTTTGATGCGGTTTTTTAATAGATAGAGTGATTCAAGAGGAAGATTTATATGTATAATATATGCATAATATAGTACAAAAACACTGGTAATTTTAAAGTTTTAATGTAAGGTCATAAATAAACACATTTTTTGCGCTTACATTGCAAACGCTGACTGTGCACGGACCACACATCTGAAGTGAAACTTCTTTTCTTAAATAACGTATCATTAGGTAGTGCATAAGGCATAAGGGAAAGAGAGAGGAAAGTATATATTATTTTTATAATATAGAACAGATATATATATAACAGATAGCCATATAGGCGCGTAGTGTGGTGTTGTTTTACCGACATCGTTCCTGTATCAAGTTGTCATTGTAACGCGGGATTTTTTGTAACTGAAATAGTTCGCAAGTTCATGCGCAAACTTTCACAAAACTGTGGTTTTCGGTAAGTTTACAATTTTTTACTTTAACTTAATTATTTTTGGGTAAAAACATCCATTTGCGTATTCAGTATGCTAATGGTGATCTGTTATAAGGGTTACTTAACCCCAACATGGCTTAAAATGAGTTTTTTTTTTCACAGAGAAAACTCAACGAGCTAAAGTAACACTCTTTAAAGCCAACTTTGGCCCAAAATTAAAAAAATATATATGAACCATTAATATTTTTTTTCCTATTTTGGTATGATAACTTTGTAACTTATACTTTAAAGTTCACAATGGCAAGATATAAACGTGACATATTCATCACAAAGAGAAGCTACAATTTTATTTGAAAAAAAAAGTGCACATTTTAGGTCAAAGTAACCCGCAGTTACTCGGTATCTAATATATAAAATTCTCGTGTCGCGGTGTTTGTGGTTAAACTCCTCCGAAACGGCTCGACCGATTTTCGTGAAATTTTATATGCATATTCAGTAGGTCTGAGAATCGAATGTAATCTATTTTTCATCCCCCTAAATGTTAAGGGTACCCCCCCCCCCCATTTTTTTTTATATTAGATTTTTTTTTTTAATTTTTTTATGATACATCATACAAAAATACATACAACCCTAAATTTTCACCCTTCTACCACCAACCCCATTTTTTTATGGCGGTACGAAGTTCGCTGGGACAGCTAGTATATATATATATCCGTGACATTTTTTCCATAGGATTTTCCATTAAAACCCTGTCAGAATAGACCAGGGTCGATAATTTTTGAGACCAAAAAAAAATTATAGTAGGATGAAACCCATTAGAAAAGGTAGAGAATATAACAAAAATGAAAGGAAAAATAAATTACGGGCGATCTGAGGTCGGGAAGGGGGAGGGGGTGAGTTTTTAAGGGTAAAAAAATTGATTTGAATCATTATGTATAATTTTGAACTATTTATTAAAATTTACACTTTAATTACTCGAAAAACGTAAGATTTCATGTTATATTGATAAACAGAAAAATTACAAATCCATAAAACATGCAAAAATAGTTGTTGTAAGTAGGTATTAAAAATAGGATTTTCAGATTCGAGTTTTTTTCATTATTAATTTGCATTTTCTGAGAACATTTATCATAGTAGTGTATATTTTTTTTTATACCATCAGAAAGTAGAGATTTCAACAAACAAAAAACACCCCAAATTTTTTAAAAAAGCAGATATTTTGACGTGACAATTTTCGATTGAAAATAAGGGTGCTTTTTGGATATTAAGTCAAAATAAGGTGAAAAAATGAATATTTTAAATCAAAAAAATTACTGTATGTTTGGGACATACAAAGGTAAGTTTTCACCAAATTTCGTGAAAAAATATTTTTTTTTGCAAAAAATAAAAATCAAATACCAAAAACTTGGTTATTCGCATTTTTCACATAAATTTTGAGGTTATGTGAAAAAAGTGTCGATACAAAAGTTGTAGATCTTTTTATTACCTACAACTTTGCCATTTAACTTTTTTTCATAGAACTTGCAGTTTTACCGGAAATCGAGATTAACCATTTTTACCCTTAAAAACTCACCCCCTCCCCCTTCCCGACCTCAGATCGCCCGTAATTTATTTTTCCTTTCATTTTTGTTATATTCTCTACCTTTTCTAATGGGTTTCATCCTACTATATTTTTTTTCACTTTTCACCATTTCTAAAATTATCGACCCTGGTCTAGAAAAGAAGTTTCAATTTAAAAAAACATTGCCCGCGTCCCCTCTTAAAGTTTCTTACCTACATATTTTAGAGAGTGCTAGCTTCCAGATCGGGTATACGGTTGAATCCCTCGGGGGCTCGACTCCAGTAGTAGTATGGCGGTCCGGCCGAGAAGCAATACTTCTGTTGTAAAGGGGATCCCCCTTCAACCCAATACATTAGGTAGAAGTTGCACATCTCGTCTTTGTTTGTGGCCCTGCAATGATTAATAATAATAATAAAATAAATAAAAAGTATTTTTATTAACATGTATATATAGTAGAAAATATAACTAGAAAAAATTCCACGCGGACCAGGCAGCAGACGGGACTCGAACCCGCACCCTTCGCAATCCGGGCGAATGCACTGACCAATTATGCTACCGCGACCCTCACGGACCGCGTCGAAATTTCTCTAGCCATTCTTAAGCTGCAAGGCAGCGCCATCTCTTCGCATTATAGGTAACCCACTATAATGCGAAATAAAATAAAAATTATAACTATAATTGCTATTTCTTCTTTCAAATGTTTAATACTTGAAAAAGTATTAATTTGACATTGTGGGTTACCTACAATGCGAAGAGATGGCGCTGCCTTGCAGCTTAAGGCTAGGAAAATTTCGACACGCCCATCAGGGCCGTGGTAGCATAATTGGTCAGTGCATTCGCCCGGATTGCGAAGGGTGCGTGGAATTTTTTCTAGTAAAACTTTTATTTAGATTTAAACATCTAGTAGTTAAAAGCTTAAATAAGAAATAAAAACATAAATATGTATAATGTAGTAATAAGAACTTAATTAATTTCTTTAAAATAAGCAATTAACTGGCACACGCGCAAAGGACGAAATATAAACTTGACACTGCTTCCATCTAGTGAAGAATTGGAGAACTTATTGGTACACCTCAAGACTTACTCTGGTCACTTTTGTTGGGCTGTGTGGTGTCGTAGCAGTATTGCGGTAGCAAGCGAAAGCAAGAATTCGTTTTATAAGTACTCCCTTTCAAGTAGGCATACAAATAGGGTATTTGACAAGTTTTAGAAAACGATCTCACGTTATTATTATTATTATTACGTTTATTGAGTCAGTAAAAAGTGGATACTCATCATTCTGTTGAGTATTTCAGTAAAAATAACCAAATCAAAAACTCAATTTTCAAGTTGCTGCGAAAACGTTTCTCTGGACAATATGGCGTCTTACTAGTGTGTGACGTCACACGACTGATATTAAAACGTCAAACGATACAATGTAATGTCACTTTAACCGGAAGTTTACTTGCGTGTGACGTCATTTTAGGCTCCGCCAATGCCAAGCGTTTTGGGTCACGTGACAATAGATGAGAAAACTGTTATTTTTTTCGTTAGTTTTTAGTAAAATTATGAATATTTTTTTGTGACAATAGTAAAAACCCCTGTTAATATTCATTCTGAACTAACTAAACACTGTCAAATACCCTATTGTAATACTCATGCTGATTTCGATAAAATATTTTATTATTCGATAGAGGAACTCGATGGCGCAGGTGGTAAGCGCGTTCGGCTGCGATCGTTGAAGTTAAGCAACTTTCGCAGTGGTCGGTCTTTGGATGGGTGGACCAAAAAGTTTCTATCTCGAGTTCCTCGGGGCTTCACGTGACCGTAAATGCCTAGGATTGGCGAAAACTAAAATGACGTCACACGCTAGTAAACTTCCAGTCAAAGTGACATTACATTGTATTGTTTTACGTTTTACTGATAGTCGTGTGACGTCACACACCAGTGAGACGCCATAATGTCCAAAGAAACATTTTCGCGGCAACTTGGAAATAGAATTTTTGACAATTTTTTACTGATATACTCAACAGAATGATAATACCCATTTTTATGGACAAGCATTAGTAAATAACGTGAGATCGTTATCTAAAACTTGACAAATATCCTATTACAATCGAATCGAAGCTGTGAAGTTAGCGCAAGTCGCGACGCAGTAAACTAAATCTAGTGTGACGTCATTGAATTGAAACCTACGCATACTTGCACTCGCTGCTAACTTCACAACAGCAAGAAAGTTTCAATTACCAATTTTATAAAATGAAAAATAATTAAATAATCATATTAGTGCCATCTTACCCGATGCTGACTGGATACGAGTGAGTGTTGTTCATAGTGCATCTGGCGGCGAGTACGTCGCCCCGTTGGATGGGAGTGGGATGGGTGACCGGATAGAACATTTGCGGTAACTGCGGGTCCTTCTTGCCGAGCAGATGCCATTCATCACCGCTTTCCTTCTGACGGACCACGTAGCCGGATACCACTTTACCTGTAAAGTGAGTACGAATTAAATCATAAATTATGTGTTTAATAAATGATATCTAAACATATTTATTTATTTATAGGTACATCAACAGCATAACATACAAGACATTCGTAATATATAGAGGATGAATTTACTGTTTACATATGTTTGCCAATTATAGATATACACAACATTTATACCATATCGTTTAACAAATGTATGTATATATATCTTTATATGTATAATTCTTCTGTGAGTGTGTGTCACTGAACTTCTCTTTAACGACTGGACCGATTTTGATGAAATTTTTTGTGTGTGTTCAAGGGGATCTGAGAATGGTTTAGATTCACAATTTTGTCCGCTGGACAACCCCTATTTTTTTAGGGCGGTACGAAGTTCGCTGGGTCAGCTAGTCTATATATAAAATTCTCGTGTCGCGGTGTTTGTGGTTAAACTCCTCCGAAACGGTTCGATCGATTTTCGTGAAATTTTGTGTGCATATTGGGTAGGTCTGAGAATCGAATAGTAATCTATTTTTCATCCCCCTAAATGTTAAGGGTACCCCCCCCCCCATTTTTTTTTAATTTTAGTTAATTTTTTTTTATTTTTTTATGATACATCGTACAAAAATACATACAACCCTAAATTTTCACCCTTCTACCACCAACCCCTATTTTTTTATGGCGGTACGAAGTTCGCTGGATCAGCTAGTATACATATAATAAAATGGTAGGAAAGTCAAAACTATACATAGAATATTCTTTTAAAAGAATACTTGGGGTGTGATCTACAATCGATATCGAAGTCAAAAATACAGTTTTTAGAATTTTTGTCTGTTTGACTGTATGTATGTCCAGGATAAATTCAAAAAGTACTGCACGGATTTATTTCAAATTTGGCACGAATATTATTAAGAGAGGCGTGAAGAAGCATTTTTGCAGGCCGGCAAATTGAGGATAGTTGGTGTGGCTGACAAACTGATGTACCAGCTATCTTCGCGTTTGGACTTTATCACCACTTAACATCAGGTGGGGTAGAGTCATTTGCCTACCTCACTATAAAAAAAAAATATGGGTGCGTGTACTTAAGTACGCGCGTGAGAAGTTATACTTATTTTTGGAATTATTAAAAAATAGTTTTTAATTGCATGCAGATAATTAATTACAATAAGATAATAAAAGGATTGGAAAGGGATAGTCAACGCAGTCAATAAAGTTCAGTTTTAATTTGAAAAATTTAATAAATAATCAAAATATTCAATTTAAATCACTACTGAATAAAATTTATTAGCACATATAAATTTCGCATTTGTATAACATTATAACACGTGTTAAGAATATAGAAACTAGAAACATGTGGATAAATATTATAAATATGAAAACAGTGATCAGAGGCGACGAGCGTCCCAACATGTGCGACTAAGAGATCCTATTACTATTTTGTTGGAAGCTTTTTTTCGAGACTTACGAGTAATGTGCGGTTTAGCGGCCGACTTCATGGTGTTACTTTTCTGTTACAGTGTTGCGCGCGCATCTTAAAATTTCACTCTCATCATTTTTTCATAACGCGCCCGCGGCTAACTTCATTATGTTACTTTAGTGTTACAGTGTTGCGCGCGCATCTTAAAATTTCACTCTCATATTTTTTTCATAACGCGGCTAAAGAAGTATAACTTCAAAAACGAGCGAGCCTTACAGTAGTCGCGTATGATGTGTAACATTTGAAACCTCACCTTATATTAGTAAAAAAAGAAAAAAAAAACCTACTACAAAAGGAAAAAGCCATTTGAACATTATGTTCTAAAATCAAATCAAATAGCGCGCGCTTCCCAAACTTCCTGTTACACACTTCCGTCCCAATTCACGTAATCACTCCTTACAAATTGTACGAAAGCGAGAGGAAAGAAGTTACACATAAAACAAAACGACGGGTTGCACTCCGGGAGTGCCGGCAAAAGTGAAAACTTGAATATTAACGTTGTGCATTTTTGATATTTTGGAATGGTTAGGGAATAATTTTGCACGAATTGCTTTAATTATCAGTATAAAAGTACTATCATGTATGTGGAAGAATACAATATTTATTTATTGCGTTATCGTACACAAACATGACAATTTATATTACATTAAAAAGTTTATCTCTCAGAGAAATCAACTTACATGAATGACGTTTAAGCGCACTTAGTGACATCTATTGTAAAGAAATCAATTTACATGAATCACATTGAAGCACACCTAGCGACATCTATTGTAAAAAAAATGCATTTTCTTCGCAATAAAGCTGCCAGGTGGACGTCCTAGATAGAGACTTATTATTATAATACGGTAAAACAAAATATTACTATGTTTCGTCCAATACGTTGAAAGTCAACAACCTTTCGAATTTTATTGTGCGTCATCATGAGATCAGCCCACGTGTTTAACCTGACGCGAGTTAACATTTAGAAGCTCGATGGCGCAACTGGTTAGCGCGTTCGGTTGCGATCGTTGAAGTTAAGCAACTTTCGCAGTGGTCGGTCATTGGATGGGTGACCAAAAACTACTATCTCGAGTTCCTCGGTGCTTCGGAAGGCACGTTAAGCCGTTGGTCCCGGCTGCATCTGCAGTCGTTAGCACCCGCCAATCCGCACTGGGCCCGCGTGGTGGGTCATGGCCCAATCTCCCTATTCCATCCAGAGGGAAGGCCTGTGCCCCAGCAGTGGGGACATTAATAGGCTGATGATGATGACTATGATGATGATTTTATTATTAAATGATTTTTTTTGTCCTGATCACGTGACCGTAAACGCCTAGGAATGGCGAAGACTAAAATGACGTCACACGCTAGTAAACTTCCGGTCAAAGTGACATTACATTGTAATGTCTGACGTTCTACTGATAGTCGTGTGACGTCACACACCAGTGAGACGCCATAATGTCAAAAGAAACATTATCGCGGCAACTTGGAAATATATTTTTTTACTGATATACTCAACAGAATGATAAATACCCATTTTTATGGACAAACATTAGTAAATAACGTGAGATCGTTATCTAAAACTTGACAAATATCCTATTACAATAGCCCCAGCAGTGGGGACATTAATATAGGCTGATGATGATGATGATGATGAGTTTACATTTTATACCCATACAAAAAAAGTTTACAACGCTGCTATAAAGAAGTTTTTTAAGAAATAAACGTACCAAGCGCGTGCGTGTGCGTCCTGAAGGCGAAAGGATGTATAGTTTTTTCCTCCCGCATAGTGCACGCCGTCTCCATGTGTTCGAGGCGGCGAGCTCCTACCACTCCTCCTGTTCCTAGTAGAATGACGCCTGCCTCGCGACGCATCCTGCCAATTATAATACGGTAATATTATCTATACAGTATTGTGACTCCGCCCTGTCCTTGAAATAAATGCCTACGGCCGAGCGCTGCGTTAGCACGCTGTAGGGCCGCCCGCCTACAGTATTTTATGTAGTTTTGTTTTAAACGCGAGTGTAGGTAGATTACTCGTTTGTCTCTTTTTTCATCCTAACCACTTATTTATATATTATTCCAGATATTTTGCCCGATGGAAAAACCGAAATACCTAAATATTAGAAACAAATAACGTACTAGTAGATAGTAGTATAAAAATATTCTATAAAGGTAAGACACCTTTCCAATATTTCAGGTAATTTAAAAAATGATATGTCTGGGTGTGTTATTGAAGAGTTCAAGCAACCAAAAACAGCAATTGTGCTGTTGTACGATATTGATCGTCGTTTGTTCTTTTCCATACTAAATTATGTAGGTATCTACTTAATTAAATCAAATATTTACAATACAAAACGCACGTTTAAGCACGACTAACTGCATAAAAAACAATTCAGACCGTTCGGTCGTCGTTGCGGCGCGGCGCCGCATTCGCGACTGGGTGCCCGCCGAGAGCCCATCGAACTCGAGTGGCGTAGGTATGACTCGCTTTCCGACCGTTTGTATGAAGATAGAATACTGTATGATATTATTACCGTGATTATACGATACGCATTAAGTATCAAGTAAGTAACGAACAATATCCATACAAATTTATAGGTACGCAAATTATACAACCGTATCTCTTCTGTAAGTTAAGAACCCTTTTACAAAATTGCGCCGCTGCCGTACTGATCGGCACATAGGTAGATTTGCACTAGTAATATTGCATTTAACGGGTGATGTTTCGAGTCTTATAAAATAATTATTAATGAACTAATTATAAAAACATATAAATATTTTAGTAGTTCAATAATGGTAGATTAGTTTTATGAAAGTTTTTGATAGTAATTCTATATAATTCAATATCAAAATACGGGTAAACCGGCATTATTTTTTTGGAAAACTCACGGAGGTTAGATTTTTTTTTTAAATTAATGAGATGGAAAATCTAAATTCTAATACATTATGTTACAACAAAAACACATTTCTGATGTCGTATTATTTAATTTGATCTAATTTACTGAACATTATTTAGAGATTCAGGCGCTTGAAGTTGTGCATATTATCGTTTTTTCCGTAAACTAGCTGCGATAGAACGATCAGTACAAAAAAAAAGGAAAATAGTATTTGCAAATATTCTACATTAACTTACAATAGGAAGAATAAATCTACTGTTTACTTTTATTGGAAATGCTCAAAATCTTTTCTAAGGGGGTAAAGGAGTCGCTCAAAAATTACGATATTTTGCAAAAAAAGTGAAAGGGCTCTCTTAACTTAGAAGGTTTTTTTATCACAGCTTCAAAAGACTGTAGACCTGAGTATTATAGTAAATCTCATCTCATCATTTATTTATTGACGTGACAACGTCTTAAATTAGGTTGCGGCTGGGAGTCACTTATGAAAAAGTGTAACGCTCGGTAACGTTACGATGAGTCTCTCGTGTTAAGTTTAAGTTTACATGTACAATGTTTTAGTAAACAAAATATATTTCTATAGTTAAAATTTGTGCAATTCTTATTTTCATTCAATTCCTTGTTCCTATTGTGCAATTTAATTATATTCATATCAATAAATATTCTACCGAGAAAAAGACGTTGTCACGTAAAATCTTCGCCCGTAAAACCGACTTTACAGGCAACCATTTATTTATTCTTTATTGCATGCCACAGATAGTACAAAAAACAACATTATCATAACCTGTACAAACATGTGACACCCTGCAAGGGCGTTGCAATTTTACTTAAATTATTATTATTATTTAAACAAACAATCAAATATATTGTAAGAAAAAATCAATTCAATTATTAAACATGCATCTTACCAAAATTAAAATTAAAAAATACATATATTTTACAATTTAAAAACTATAGATATTAATATACAATTTTCACACTCAGAATTTTTAATATAATATAGAGGAACGCACAATCTCATCATCTCGATACCTCCAGGCGTTCCCAAGATAAGGGTTTAACAAAATGAACCTTATGTCATTCTCTAAGGTCCCATTTATATCCATACCAAAATTTAAAATCGGTTCAGCGGTTAATGTACCCAATTAGCACACAGGGGCCCAATTCTCGCGGCATAGATATTATATCACCTTCGATATATATCGAATGATCTGGCTTTTATCGAAGGAAAACCTTTTTGCCCTATTCTCACCATGTCGCAATAGATATTTATCTACGGATGATCAGTAGACATACATCGACTGGTAAAGAGCCTTCGATATATAAATATCTATGGATCTTGGCATGTCAATCTTGTTATTTCCACTTTTTTTACCTATTATTTATTGTGTTGTCGTGTGTCTTTGCCAGTTATTGTTACCTCAAGATGTTGTTAACTGCCTTCATAAATAATTAGTAAATAAAGAAGTAGGTAAACAATGGTGTCGATTCTGGCGTGATTCTCTAAACTTAAAACTAAATTTATTATCAGTCTCTCTTTTTCATTCTGTATAGAGAATGACAAGGAAACACTGTTGTCAAGTTTAAGTTTAGAGAATCACGCCAGAATCGACACCATTTTCTTATTGACGATACGGAGTTTTGGCGGGATTTCTGCGAGTGCGGTTGGCATCTTATTTTAATTATTCTAAAATTCGTTCATAGTGGATATTGTGAAAAAAAAATTGGTGTGATTTGGTGTTACAACCGTCTGCGCAACTAAAGAATTAGTGGAATCTTTAAAATATACGCTATTTCGGTCAAGTGGACGCGAGAACTTTATTGTAGTGTTGACTACCTCACAGAAGCTTAGAGAAAAAGCTGACTCCATAAATTTCGTGCCAAACACTCCAAGAAACATTAGAATGCGTCACACCGACATTCGAATGTAATAAAAAGAAGATTAATATAACTAAAGACTAGGCTTTATGGGCATTGTTCCCTTTGCCTTCCCTGAAAAGGGAGAATTTTAAATAATATTGACGTTTCATTATACATAACGTTGAAATTATATACGCATACAATTTAGGTAAAGTTGAGATTTCTTATACTCAAAAAATGTTTTAAAAAATTTAATATGAATGGAATTCATAAAATATCATTTTGTTGCTTGTAAAATTCTGCTCTAATTTATTATTTATTTATATAGACTATGATGTTAACTTAATCGAGAAAAACGGAACGCATTCGGCAGTGAAAGAATATCTACGATAGATATAATATCATTGGAATATCGAAAATCCACGAGAATAGCATTTTTTACCATCAGTAGATATTTTCAATAGATATCCCTACTTTCGATATTATCTCGAAGCCGATATAATATCTACGCCGCGAGAATTGGGCCCCAGGTCTTATGTATTGTCATTTTTATACAAATTAAAGGAAAAATCATACTTACGGTGTTTTGGTATACTTGAGGAATACACCGGAGTTATCCAATTTATTCTCTGTAATAGAAAAGGATGCAATTTAATAGGCTTTCAGATTTATATTGAAAAACTCTTCAAAGATATACAGGATGTCCCAAAAAGTAGTGTCAAGTGTCAAAAGTAGCAAAAGTAGCGCTTTAAGTACTACTTTTTTTAAATGATTATGAAAGCTGAGAGTCTGGCGCAGTTTTTAAACTTACTTAGGAGCCATGAAACTACCTATTAAGATTTTAAATTTAAAGATGAAATCTTAAGACATAATTCACTGATCATAATTTTTTCACTTTGCACCATAATTTTTTAAACTTCCATCATAGTTGCAAAGACAAAGGTATTAGTCATTTAAGTACAATTCATGTAAATTGAGTTGCAAAAAAAATATCTCGGAAAAGACTTATCCAATTTTTTTTATTAAATTTTTAAGTTGTTTAGGTCATTAATTCTCAAAATTTTAGTAAAAAATTCATAACTCGCAAACTATAAAAAATCGCGGAACATACATGGGAGTGTTTCGGATTCCCCAAGGGGTGTTCTATCTCGGGACTACCGCTTGACACTACTTTTTGGGACATCCTGTATATGACGTAATGGCAGGCGACTTCAGAAGTATCTCTGAAGTCATTGTTCAACTTGACGACTCTGTTTATAACAATACAGGGAGAAAAAAACAGCCCTTACTGAGTTTCTTGCCGGTTCTTCTCAGTACAAGGTCTCCCGCCGTAGTTTTGCGAACCGATGACGTAGCTTTTTGACCTTCACAAGTGCTTGTAACAACCTAGACTGAATAAATGATTTTTGATTTTGATATGACAACCTAAGGGACACGGATGTTCGCAAATATTGCAAGCAGGAGTCTAAAACTTTTATGTGGGCCCCTTTTCCATAAACAAAGTATTCATCAAGGACGAGATTGTACTTGTAAGATAATTAGGTGATTTTTTTTATTTTTTTTTATGAACACACACCAATTAGCCTAGCCCCAAAGTAAGCACTATAAGGCTTGTGTTATGGGATACTAGGGTAACGGATAGAATACATATATTGTACATAAATAAGTATATTTATATAGAAATACATATAAAACATCCATGACTGGAGTACAAATACTCTTATTCATCACACAAACATCTGCCCCCACCGGGATTTGAACCCGGAATCTCTCGAGTAGGAGTAGGCGACACCATGAAACCCGGCGTATAAACCACTCGGCCACGGAGGTCGGATAATCGTCGTCAACCTATAATGTTGCTACTGGGGCACAGACCTTCCCTATGGATAGAATACGAAGATTGGGTCATGACCCACCGCGCGGGTCCAGTGCAGATTGGTGGGTGCTAACGACTTCAGATGCAACCGGGACCAACGGCTTAACGTGCCTTCCGAAGCACGGAGGAACTCGATATAGAAGATTTTTGGTCACCCATCCAATGACCGACCACTGCGAAAGTTGCTTAACTTTAACGATTGCAACTGAACGCGCTAACCACCCGCGCCATCGAGCTCCTAATACATGCATTTAACAAATTTTATACAAATCTTCATTTTTCGTTCACACTCAAATACATGTATAAAACATGTAGCACTTGTATCAAACTTGTTGGAGAAACAAAATATCTCAAGTAAATGAGTGATTAATAATTGTCAAGACTTCTAGTTGTCTATGCAGTGTAAACGAAGAAAAAATATTTAAACAACAACAAATATTTTACAAGTTTTGTACACACCTAGTTTATGATTTGTTTCTTGGTGAAAACGAACGAACTTGGTGGTTTAGGGTAGGCAATTCCGTCGGTTCCGGAGGAGCTCGATGGCGCAGGTGGCTAGCGCGTTCGGCTGCGATCGTTGAAGTTAAGCAACTTTCGCAGTGGTCGGTCATTGGATGGGTGACCAAAAATTTACTATCTCGAGCTCCTCCGTGCTTCGGAAGGCACGTTAAGCCGTTGGTCCCGGCTGCATTTGCAGTCGTTAGTACCCACCAATCCGCACTGGGCCCGCGTGGTGGGTCATGGCCCAATCTCCCTATTCCATCCATAGGGAAGGCCTGTGCCCCAGCAGTGGGGACATTAATAGGCTGATGATGAATTCCGTCGGTAAGTTTCTGGGGCTCCATTGGGTAGGAAATTGGTTTAGGGTCTTAGATTAAAACAAAAAGGGTAGATACGGCACTAGCCTCACATAAGTGATCCGCATAAATTGTGGTCCGCGACCCTAATCGCTTTAGTCACAACTTGACATGCAAACGACGTACATGTGAACGCCAAAAAGAAATATTGCTAATATTTTGTGTTTATATGATGAAACAATGCCTAAGTGTGTTTTTAAAAAGTGCTCAAATTGCTCAAGAACTAAAAATAAAACCCACGGCATCACTTTTCATTCGTAAGTACTATACAATATATTTTTTCATAAAAATTGTTGTTTGTTTTGAATCTCATTCGGTAGTGACGTCGAGTACTGGTCGCGTGATTGGTCGGTAGTGCAGTGACGCGGATCTCGCCGTCTCGTTCGCGCTGCCGTTGAAACTTAAATTGCTGTTTCGTTCGTTCGATTGTATCTTTACAAACAGGTGGATGTGTGAGTGTTGCATATGTAGAACAGTAAAGTAGAGACTCGAGTTTCTAAAGTTTTAGAAACTCGAGTCTCTACAATTACGCCGTGATGTGGCATCATTAAGCGCATTCTACCGACTAATACCACGGCGAGTGTTCTGAGGAGCTATTCTCGCTTATCCCTCCATCACCTTTTCTTCAGAGGACCATTTTTGTCGTATTATTCGTAAGTGGAATTCTATGCCCGCGCACGTGTTAACTCCTTCCTATAATCTGGGGTCCTTTAAGAGAGGCGTGAAGAAGCATTTTTGCAGGCCGGCAAGGTGAGGATGATCGGTGTAGCAGTTTATAACTGCTGTACCAGCTAACTTCGCGTTTGGACTTTATCACCACTTAACATCAGGTGGGGTAGAGTCATTTGCCTACCTAATCATATAAAAAAAAAGTGGGATCAGTTTTTGTTTGATGCAAGTATGAGCGTACCGTATCTACACTTTTTGTTTTAATCTAAGTTTAGGGTAGGCAATTCCATCGGTAAGGTTCTGGGGCTTCATTGGGTAGGAAATTGGATTAGGGTAGGCAATGGGGCAGCCGATATTTTTAGCATATAGTGAATAACCCTCAGGCGAGTCATATGCTTATTTACCACTCTTTCAACATAAGAATTGAATATAATACTTTTTATTTGCATTAAATAGGGTTGACACATAGTGTTTGCATATAAAACATATGTTAAGCTAAGCAACTTAAACCTATTTAGCCATATTAATAGCATGCAAAAAATTCTAACATATTAAAACATAACAGTCAATTTGCAGTGTTCTCATTTTACTTTTTTTTTGTCTGAAAAATGCCTTACGCATCCTTCAACCACTGGGGGAGCGAGAATAAGGTATGTGGGACTCCTCCCTGTCCTCTTCAGCCAGCCCCGGAGCTCGCTGATGTGAACAGGGCCCTACCTACGCCCTGAACAGGGCCACTAAAAACCAGACAATAGGGGTGATGACGGGGTACACTAAACGAAATTCTATTTAGTCCGTCAGCTAGATGATCAAAAAATAATGGACACGTATTTTTTCTTTGGGCAATCAACTAAAAAATGACAAAGTTATAGCGCGTCAAAGTTTGGGAGTAGGGGCTCGTGACGTCACTTCTGAGTGAATTTTCCCTTATAAGTGTACTCAAACGTGACGTCATGCGACTTTTCAAATCAATATATCTCTGCAATGTTTGTATTATGTGAAAAAAGAAAAAATACGTGTCCAATACTTTTTCATTATCTACCTGATAAACGAAGAAAAAAAAATTGTCATCATCCCTATACTCGTGCACCGTCACCCGACACGCAGTATGAGGACCGCGGTCCCCCTAGTGTGGTGTGGTCGCGGAACCGGTCTCCGAATGGCCGCGCACCCGCCAGGTAATTTCTCGTTTTACCTAAACAAAATAAAGAGAAACTTTAAAACTAGTCTTACCCGGAAAGTGATGCATGTAATGTATTTGCAGCACTAAGTACTTGATGGCGGAGTCCTGGCCGATGAGGAAGCCCACGCCTTCGGGCAGCTGCAGGCTGGGCGCATCCCGGGCCCATGCGTACACTATCTAATATAAACAAAATTGAAAACTTTCAGTTTTTTTTTCTTTTTATTAAAAACTGCACCAAAGACAACCTCTGTGGCCGAGTGGTTTGTACGCCGGGTTTCATGGTGTCGCCGACTCGAGAGGTCCCGAGTTCAAATCCCGGTGGGGGTAGATGTTTGTGTGATGAATACGAGAATTTGTACTCCAGCCATGGATGTTTAATATATATATATATAAATATGCTTATATATGTACAGTATATGTATTCTAACCGTTACCCTAGTATCCCATAACACAAGCCTTATAGTGCTTACTTTGCGGCTAGGGTAGTTGGTGTTTTAAAAAACAAAAAAAAACCCAAAGAAAGCACTGTAGGCTTGTGTTATGGTATACTAGGGCAACGGATAGAATACACATACATATAAGTATATTTATATAGAGATACATATTAAACATCAATGACTGGAGTACAAATGCTCGTATTCATCACACAAACATCTGCCCCCGCCGGGATTCGAACCCGGGACCTCTCGAGTAGGCGACACGTTGAAACCCGGCGTACAAACCACTCGGCCACGGAGGTCGTCGATTAGAAAATGTTTAGATAATACTAGATAAAGCCAGTTTTTCGTCACGTGTAATGTTCGGAAGATTCCTTTTAAGAGCCCGCACGTTTAGAGTCATCAAACTTTTTACACTGCACATATTATTATCTTTTCGATCAAGGACGATTTCGAGTGAACGGGTCGATAGATGCCTACGATTTCAAGTTGTACGAGTGCGTCACACACACTTGTATAAAGTCAACATCGCAACTTATTATTTATTTATTATGAACTTCTCGTAATATATTAAAAATGCCTTGATTAGATATCGCAACAGTGCTGATATTAAAAGAATTTTTACTAGACTTGCAACGAATATTCGGTCACTATTCGGTATTCGGACTATTCGGCTGCTTTTATTATATTCGGCCGAATACCGAATATCTACATATTATTCGGCCGAATACCGAATACTTAAATAATATATTTTGTCATACAGAAATAATTGGTAAAATTAAAAATAAAAATCGATTGATTACGTACCTATATATTCAAATTTTCATTTCTGTTATATAATCATTTAAGTAGTCATTGGTACATAATTTAATAATTATCTGTATTAAACAAGTTAACAGATTTTAATTCATTCAGTCATGTAATGAATGGTTACTAATTTAATAATTTAAAGTTTACGTGTCGTTTTTGGCCATATCTCAAAAGTTGGTTTTGTCATTTAGCCGCATTTTAGCTTGAGGACGGCAGATTAGAACAAAACAAAGGAGCGCGAAACAATCACGTCTGTACAAGTTTTTGGCGCTAAAATCCAGCCGAATACTTTTGCCTAATATTCGGCTATTCGGTCAGGGGCCTCGCCGAATATTCGGTATACTGCCGAATATACTATTCGTTGTAAGTCTAATTTTTTCCATTGACTTTCACCGTCTGACTCTGTCGTGAAATCTCCAACTTTCCGATCGAAAACTTAAATGGTGCCATCCCATTGTATCTGAACAGGTCATGGTTTCCCAATATGCTATACTTTTCACCCCGCCTGATATGGGCAAATGCCGTTGTTTCTTTTCGTTCGAATTCGGCTGCGATCGTTGAAGTTAAGCAGCTTTCGCAAAGTCGGTCATTAGATGAGTGACCAAAAGTTCCTCCGGCAGGCACGTTAAGCCGTTGGTCCCGGCTGCATCTGCAGTCGTTAGCACCCGCCAATCCGCACTGGGCCCGCGTGGGTTATGACCCAAACTCCCTATTCTATCCATAGGGAAGGCCTGTGCCCCAGCAGTTACATTAATAGACTGATGATGATGATAATGCTGGCTTAAAAGTTACGAGCAACATAGAATAGGGTATCAGAATAGGGATGATGACTATTTTTTTTCTTCGTTTATCAGGTAGATTATCAAAAAGTATTGGACACGTATTTTTTCTTTTTTCACATTATACAAACATTGCAGAGATATATTGATTTGAAAAGTTGCATGACGTCACGTTTGAGTACACTTATTAGTGAAAATTCACTCAAAAGTGACGTCACGAGTCCCTACTCCCAAACTTTAAGCTATAACTTTGTCATTTTTTGGTTGATTGCCCAAAGAAAAAATACTTGTCCATTATTTTTTGATCATCTAACTGACGGACTAAATAGAATTTCGTTTACTGTACCCCGTCATCACCCCTATTTCGATTTACCGTATACGCGAGTTCACTACGGATTGGTGGGCTAACAACTACAGATGCAGCCGGGACAAACAGCCTTCCTAAGGCCGAAGGTGCTTTAGATATTAAGTTTTCGGTCACCCATCTTATTGATGGGTCATCGCGATAGTTGCTTAACTTCCACAAAACCGCAGATAAAATGCGCTTATACATGTTTATACTGCTATGATCAGGGCCGTGCCTGACGGGCGTTCATTGCGTGCACCGCACGCAGGCGGCCGAAATTAAGAGGCGGCCAAATCGTTACAAGTTGTTTACTGGGCAAAAATACAATCGGTTTGTTTTCACCTTCTAAACGCCGTAAGCATCATATGATGCGCGCGCTTACATACCGCCAACGACCGCTAGCATCATATGATGCTCCCAGCGAGTGTCAAATGATTCTGGGGGTCGGTGACGGATATTTTTCCTTATAACTTCGGTCGTAAGATGTATTTTTGAATACGGTTTTCGGCATAACACAGATAAGTTTTTTTCCAAAGTATTAGAAATGATGAAAATTTCGAAAAGTATTTGAAAATTGCTGATGAATTATGTGAATCACTTGAAATACAACCGGAATTTCCTGTTGAAATTAATCTACGTCGACGCCATAAGCGAAAACAATTTGACTATGAAGGAGATGAGGATATTCAGTTAACTGCTAAAGAAAATTTCAAAATTAATTTTTTCTATGTAATATTGGATACAGCCATTTCATCTGTTACTACCCGATTTGAAACATTATCCAATTTCGAACAGTCTTTCGGATTTTTATATAAATTTGTTGAAATAGGAGAGGACGACATAAAAAAAAGTTGCTTCGACTTGCATAATAAATTCAAGGATGGCGAATCGTGCGACATAAACGGAGCAGAATTATACGAAGAGTTAATTTCATTGAAAATAATTATAAAAGATAGGAAACAACCCGAAGAACTCCTAAAGTATTTGTACAAACACAATTTACAAAATTCATTTCCAAATGTATCTACAAGCTTAAAACTATTATTGACCATGCCTGTATCAGTTGCGTCTGGAGAACGTAGTTTTTCTAAATTGAAAATCATAAAAAATTACCTACGTACTTCCATGACGCAAGAACGTATGAGCAATCTTTCAATTATCGCGATTGAAAGTGAAATTGCTGAATCTTTAAATATTCACGAAGCAATTGACGATTTTGTCAGTAAAAAATCCCGTAGGATTAACTTTTAATATGTACTTTATTTAATAATTGCTTCGTGAAGATTCAGCAATTTCACTTTCAATCGCGATAATTGAAAGATTGAAAGATTTCCCTAATTAACCGGTAACCTAACCGAAATAATTTTATGAAACCGGTTAATTAACCAAAAACCTTTACTATTTTCAATATCAATAAATAATACGTAAGATTTGATTTTTTAAAATCAAATAATTTTAAATTGTCACTGAGCGACACCTAGGATTTTAAATTATCGTATTCCTATGTTCTTTATGTTTGATAATTTTGTCTGTGATTATAATACCAATACCATAATTACTTTTTTTCATGTTATTATTAAAGTAAGTAAATTAATTCTATTTTGTATACCTCCCAAGTTGCAAGTCAGCCCAGATCTGCCATTGGCCACTGAGCTTTGTTATCCTAATATGTTAGTATAGATTTAAGGGTTATTCCTTGTTCTTTATGTTTGATAATTTTGTCTGTGATTATAAAACCAATACCATAATTTTTTTCATGTTATTATTTTTGTTTAAATTTTAAATAAAAAAATGTGCATTTTTTTTTCTTAAATTTCATCCAAACATATAAATCTCATAAAACCGGTTTTTAGCCGGTTTTTCTTTTCAGAAACCGGTTTTGGGAACAAAACCAATATTTTTTTTCGTTCTCGATTTCGGTTAACCAAAAACTGATTTTTTTCCCGGTTTGATGCCCTGTGTATAATAATAAACATTAAAAATTAAAGTAGTTTTTTTTAATGTTATCCTGGGGGCGGCCATACAGACTGGCACGCAGGCGGCCATATACCCAGGCACGGCCCTGGCTATGATTATAACACATCATAGAAAAACAGACTTCAAATTGGTTTGAAATTTGTTTCATTATCGTGTGTATGTGTAACAATATGGTAAACTTTTTTACAATGGAAAATGACATCATGCCGTCATGGTGTATAAACTGTTTTTGCCTTGACATCTGCGTATAAGTTCATATTACTTCGTGAAAAAAACCGCTTTGACGTGTTTTTTACCAAAACAAAAGTCTTTATTTGACAATCCCAAAATTTCCTTAGATTTACGAAACAGTGGTATATAAGCTACACGATTTTCAAAAACTTTCCTATTATACAGAACATCTCATAGCTTGCCTTGCAGTTTAAGGCTAGGAAAAATTCGACGCGGCCATCAGGGCCGTGGTAGCATAATTGGTCAGTGCATTCGCCCGGATTGCGAAGGGTGCGGTTTCGAGTCCCGTCCACTGCCTCGTCCGCGTAATTTTTTTCTAGTGAAACTTTTCTTTAGATTTAAATGATATTACTTCTAGAAGTTAAATGCTTAAATCTCATAGCTCTATTAAAAGTTTTCCTGTTAGCCTGCCAACGTAATTTAATAAATATGTTGACTGATTACAATTAGATAAACACACAACAAGACTCAAGAACAATGCTCATGATGTTACAGTATCATTTGACATCTATTTTAGGAGAGCGAGTATTAACCATGCTAATGCGGTTGTCATGCCTCTGGGAAAGTACTAGCATCGTCGCTGAAACGTATGTTTTGTTCTCAGTAAGGTTTTTTTTTTAAACAGGTCCGGCAAATGACTGATGATGGCCGGGGGCCGCCTGATGTTAAGTGATGGTGAAGTCCAGACGTGAAGATAGCTGGTACAGCAATTCTACCTGCCACACCAGCCATCCTCACCCTGCCGTCCTGCATGTTGCTTCTTCACGCCTCTTTTAAAGGATCCCAAGTTGTAAGAAGGAGGGTACACGTGAGCAGGCATTCCATTCCATTTTCGGATAGTGCGACAAAGAGATGAGTCAACAAATTTCTTAATTTCACCAGTTTTGACGACCACCGTGGCCGAGTGGTTTGTACGCCGGGTTTCATGGTGTCACCAAATCGAGAGGTCCCGGGTTCGAATCCCGGTGGGGGCAGATGTTTGTGTGATGAATATGAACATTTGTACTCCAGTCATAGATGTTTAATATGTATATCTATGTAAATATACTTACATATGTACTGTATATGTATTCTATCCGTTACCCTAGTATCCCATAACACAAGCTTTACAGTGCTTACTTTGGGGCTAGGCTAATTGGTGTGAGTGTTTGAAATATTTATTATTATTTATTACCAGTAAGTTATTCTACATTAAATAACTCCTGAACATTAAAACGGTCTATTTTGCTACGAAAAAGTTGAATTAGTGAGTAAAAAACACATTAGTTCACGCATTGCAAATTTGTTCACAGATCAGTCAATCAATGAATGCGTGTGTAATATTGACGTGAGACGTGGGTGTTTTATCATCGCTGTACGTCATAAAAAAAGTTCCGACAAATGAATTGAAGTACCCAACGCGTACCTAACCATCTGGGATGTATTCTTCACACAGAACTAGGGTTGCCGGATGGCCGGGATTTCCGGGATTGTCCCGGAATTTTACGTGTTCACCAGTGTCCAATAATAGGGGTGATGACGGGATACAGTAAACGAAATTCTATTTAGTCCGTCAGTTAGATGATCAAAAAATAATGGACACGTATTTTTTCTTTGGGCAATCAACCAAAAAATGACAAAGTTATAGCGCGTCAAAGTTTGGGAGTAGGGGCTCGTGACGTCACTTCTTAGTGAATTTTCACTTAAAAGTGTACTCAAACGTGACGTCATGCGACTTTTCAAATCAATATATCTCTGCAATGTTTATATTATGTGAAAAAAGAAAAAATACGTGTCCAATAAATACTTTTTGATAATCTACCTGATAAACGAAGAAAAAAAATAGTCATCATCCCTATTAGACCTTATTGTCCCGAATTCCGAAAATGTGCTAGTTTCGTAACAATATAAACTAATAACGAATGACACCTGCTTAATGTTTTAATTCTGGGGGGTGATCGGGGGTTTGATTTGATGCTTTATTTTTTCGGAGGGGGGGGGGGGGGGGGCAAATATCCCGGAATTGATAAGCCAGCATCTGGCAAACACCTGCTTGATATTTTAATTCGGAAGGGGAATTTGATGCTTCATTTTTTCAAGGGTGGGGGATGCAATAGGGGTGATGACGGGGTACAATAAATGAAATTCTATTTAGTCCGTCAGTTAGATGACCAAAAATAATGGACACATATTTTTCCTTTGGGCAAACAACCAAAAAATGACAAAGTTATAGCGCGTCAAAGTTTGGGAGTAGGGGCTCGTGACGTCACTTTTTAGTGAATTTTCACTTAAAAGTGTACTCAAACGTGACGTCATGCGACTTTTCAAATCAATATATCTCTGCAATGTTTATATTACTTGTGTTTGTTTACCTTACTAGCAAACCAGTGAACCAAATGTTCACCAAAACCTGACTTAAAAAAAAAAACAATGTATTTAATTATTAAAACCGTAAGAGATAGATAAAGAGAATATTTAAGTTATAAGTTAAGAATAGTCTGATAAGACTACAAACCGGATTTGAGTAACGTAGCACTTCCGGTTTTCGAGAAATCACGAATTTCAAACGAAACCACACAAAATCTCCGAAGTTCTCTATTTTTTTTTTAATCAGGTTTTGGTGAACATTTGGTTCACTGGTTTGCTAGTACCTCATAATTTCAGTTTTCTTGACAACATAGTGACATAGTTTCTCAGGTTTTCACGCACATCACTTATTAAATAAAACTAGTTTTAACGGGTTAATGCACGCTCAATAAAAGTCTTTCGAAGTTACCTCGACAAAGTAAATAAAAAATCATTATTTTGACGATGCAGACCTGAAAAGGTTGCGAAGCATCAATAAATAAATAAAGTTCGTGCATTAACCTGTTAAAACTAGTTTTATTTAATAGTGGCATAGACTAAAAATCTTTAGCAATAATAATAATAACATCAGTAAATGACTTTTGGGATTTAAAACCTAAAGGTAGGTTATCTGAGCGTAGAATAGTTTTAAAGATTAAATACCTGTGAACCGGTGCGGCAAGGGCTGGCTGTGTTGTATCGGTTATCTATCTCGTTCGATTGCATTTCACCACAGGACCTAGAAAACAGAATGCTTAAAATAGTGTTCACTGTTTGTTACAAAAATAAAATTACTCAATATATATAATTTTGTTTTCCACAGAAATCAGAAATCAATATATCTTTATTCAAATTGGATGTATAGTACAACTCTTTTGAATCGTCCAAATTATTTTTTTTCCCTAGCACTCGTTATGGACATATTTTTTAGCTGCGGAGAAAAACGAGCAAATAAAACTCCACAACATTAAAAGTCTAATGTAACAACATTTACAAATCATTATGTTGTTACAACGTCAATACAATTATGATTTATTTAATATAGAAAACCTGTTGGAATGATTGGAACAGTTCAAGCCCAAGCATTTTTGTCTGTAATGTAATATAATCAGACACTTTGTAATAAGCTTTTTTAATAAGTGCTTTTTTTATACTATCTTTTCTTCACATTCTTAACATCTTTAATGTTGCAATTAATTTCTAAAAATAAATGAAATTGAGACAGAAGGGACAGTTTCCAAAATTTGTGTATGTAACTCTATAACATTACCAAAGACTCTTGCAAATTGAGTTTGTATATCTATGAGTAAGCATAAAGTGTATCTTCATAAATATTTATTGTTACACATAAACAAGTTTCCTTTGTTATTTGTAAACAAATCTAAGGAATTGCTTACTGTGTACTGTGTGTTCATGATGAATATTTTTGTAATGAGATGGAAATATAAAGTATTTTTATATATTCTGTTAAAACATTTTACTGTTTAATTTTTAATTTAAAGAATTTGTAATCTTGTAAAAATGTTGAAATGTGAGACGTTAAATATGATTATTATTAAACAACCAGTTTAACTGCTCCTTAATCATATTGCATAACCAAAGTTTCTATGAAAACTAAGCAGCGCCCCAGACTTTTTTTTCTTTTTTTTGGCAACAAACAATCATGTATTTTACAAAAGTAGCTTATGTTTAATATTTTCTATGAAATAGACCTAACAGTGCCTAAACACAATATGAAAACAGACCTGAAGTTAGGGCATGGTGACTTAAGAACGAACCGGCTCCTTTCACATAAAATTCAACAATGATGTTGCATTTAAAATTCTGTCAGAGTTAGGCCTGTATTATAGAAAGATTCTCAGTGATTTTTATTTTACTTTATTTTATTTTATAGAAAGATTTAGTGATTGATCTGGTCTTGAGCATAGTTAGAAAGGGATGTCGCTATATATAGCACATAGCGATCATCATCATCATCATCAGCCTTTAATGTCCCCACTGCTGGGGCACAGGCCTTCCCCATGGATGGATTAGGGACATTGGGCCATGACCCACCACGTGCGCCCAGTGCGGGTTGGTGGGTGCTAACGACTGCAGATGCAGCCGGGACCAACGGCTTAATGTGCCTTCCAAAGCATGGAGGAGCTGGAGATAGTAAATTTTTGGTCACCCATCCAATGACCGACCACTGTGAAAGTTGCTCAGCTTCAACAACCGCAGCCGAAAGCGCTAACCACTGGCGCCATCGAGCTCCTCATAGCGATATCCCTTTCTAACTGTACTCAAGTAAAGACCAACACTTTGTCGTCATTCTGTATTACAGGCCTTAGTGTCTCAGGTCATGAAACTGAGTTGATTGAATTATATCAAGTCACAAAAAAAATCTGATCATACCATACGGAATCATTGGATCCTGGTTCCGAACATCCATAAAGCAGCATATGGTGAGCCGTGTGCATAGTGGCATTTGGTTCAAATCCAACTGAAAATACAATGTTAATTTTTTTCTTATGTTTTCATGCACATCACTTATTAAATAAAATAAGTTTCAACGGTGCATGATTCATGCACTGGTTTAATAAGTCTATCGAAGGTAGCGCGACAAAGGAAATAAAATCATAATGCAGCCTGAAAAAGATGCGAAACGACATAAATAAATAAATCAGTGCATCTATACTGTAGAAACTTGTTTTGGCTAAACTGTCCTTCCAGGGCCCCGGTGGTGATACTTCGCACTAGGTTAGGTTAGGTTAGTGTTGCGACCATAACGTGCGAACCGAGTGAGCAAAGCAAGCGTGCCACGGCAGCAGCCAGCTAAGTACCAGAAAAAAAATCTGTTAAAAATTTTTTCACAGTATCGCCTTTTGGGCCCTAGAAGTACAGTTTTACTCTTGTTTTATACAATGTTAACTTATTATGTATCTACAAACATTACATATTATTGGTAAAGCCCATAACGTTATCGTTAAAACAATCTTACCTATGTAATAGTTGTGTTTTGGAGATATACGTATGGGTGTGCACAGATAAAGTTCATCCTGCGAAAGGAAATTGCTTTTTATAACTTTCACAAGTTCAAAGGAGATTTTATTTAATAATATTTGCCAAATAATAATTACTATTAATCATATGGTAATAAAATATAGTGGAATGTATTAATTAGATACGATATATAATGGTTAAGTGTTTAAAGATTTATGTAGATAAAATAAAACAAATTTAAGATTTTCATGTAAAAATCAAGTTTATAATTTATTTTGGTTTTATTAACTTTGTTACTAAAATCGATTAATACACACAATTTTGAATATCTACTAAAGTTTATCCTGTTTGCGTCAGGTCGTCTTTGAATTGAAACGTAGCGGTACATTAACTATGCTAAATATAAAGTATTTACCTTATGTGGCCAAACATTGGGCATTAGAAAATCGTAGGTGTCCACCTCCAAGGACAACACAGAAAAGGAACACGATATTGTCACAAGAAAATGAACGAATAACTTATACATTTTCATTTAAAAGATTCGTAAAATTCAGATCTTAAATTTATCACAAACGACAAGACGCGGTACTTTCCCCCTTAACACGCGCGTATTAATTTGTAAGCGATAATTGAGTTTGCAGCGCTGGGTATTCAAATACGTAACACATTAATACATCGATAAGAAATAAAAAAACGGCACGGCTATGTTTGTGTTTAATTCAGCGCCAACAACCAAGTTAAAGTCGTCCAGACGAGAAATCGATAATGTTTACTAACGTCATAGGAAAGGTTGCCATATCATGAAAACTTACACTAATCTTGTCAAAAAAGTGGTATGCAATGAATAATTATAAAATACATCTAATTTAACAATGTTATTGTAGGTGATAGAAAATCTACAGAAAATTTAGTTGTTGAATAATTAATTTGTTCTGTCTCTTTCTTTGCTCTCGGTTAAATTCTCTAAATACCTACTTCGATACCAACCTGTTTTATAGTTATTTTTCCGTTATTTATATATTTAAAATAGGTAGTAATAATAATGTAAAAGTGCTGTTAAGGAAGATGTTTAATTTATAGTATAAGGATGTAGTTTAATAATGATATTTAAGAATATTAATAATAACATTTACTTCTTATTGTTTTTTATCTACATTAATTTTCAGTGACTAGTCCTCTGTTAATCTTAAAGACATGTGTCAGGTCAGGGGAGACCGCTCTTCCATTAGCATGACTATGTAGTTTATTTTCTAAGTACAAAAAATCATCGTGAATTTTAAGTTACCTGAAAAACTTTACTAGCTAATCCAGACAACGATTTAGGTTACATTTGCTCAAAAAAAACTTATATTATTTTTTTCGTAAACGATACGATTGCAAACGATATAAATCAATATTTTTGTATACGGGTGTTGTACGGATTGTAACTATTCGGGCTATCTTTATTTACATGATTTTTAAGTCACTCGAATAACTGATGATTTGATGATTGATGTAACTTTCATTATAAGGAAGAAATAAAATTAAGTATTTCAAAATAAAACCGTAGCGAACATGGATCTTTTTCATTTCTGATAGATAATACGTGTGTGTTTCAATATTGGAACCACCTGACTTCCAAATCATGAACCAAATACATATTTCCTTTTTTTAGTTTCATTTTCGATTTTCAAGTCGGTTTTATTTTTTGTTTAAAGATAATTTTTGTATCACAATTTTTTATAAGAATTTTACCTGCACCTGCCCCACTAGCATGACCACCGAAACGGGATATGATAAAGCGATATATCGACATTAACTGTCAAACTACTGTCAAACTCCATAGTAGTCTGACAGTTAATGCCGATATATCGCGTTAACATATCTCGTTTCGGTGGTCATGCTAGAGGGGCTGCACTCCTGTGAGAATAAATAATTTGATTGATAATTATAATCATCTTTCAGTGAGAAACGGGACAAATAATTTGATTTATGATGATAATCTTCTTTTTACTACCTTTACTGTAGCTCTACTAAGTATATTTTTCTCTTATAATAATGCTACTACTTATTCATATCCCAAAGAACAACTAAATAAAATAGAACAACAAAAAACTAAAACAAACTTATAAGCTCTTAAAATACTGGGGTAATATAATTTCAGATCATGGTATTATTATCCGTTCAGAAACAGTTTTTATCAAAATATAGCTGTCATAACTGTCAAATAATTTTGGATTTTTGAACTGTGTATCGTGTTTGGGTGGTTTACGATGTTTCTGATAGAGGTCTCTGTTATTGTAAACACTATTGCGAACTTATTTTATAGATGGCGGGCTTTTGAATTTTTAAAAAGTTGCTTGTTGTTATTTTTTGGGATCATTACCCCAAGCACGATCCAATATCTGACAGTCCGAAATGTCACTCTTAAATGTGTACCTACTGATTTTAAGTACAAGTTACGTCTGTTGTGGCGCTGATGTTCAAGTTTCCATACAAAATTAGACAATAACATTTCGCACTCGTAAACTTTTCGAATTCGATAATGGTTCGTGCTAAGGGTACTGTACCTTAATCGGTTCTGTTGTCTGTATGTCCGTCACAGTCGATTTTCTCGGAATCTGCTAGACCGATCAAGTTGAAAAGTACCAACGATCAGTTGTTTAGTACATAGGTACCTACTACCTACATGTAACTATGTCTATATCTGAACATGGACAAATAAAGTAATGAGGGCTACCGCGTATGAATCCGCCGCTAGAGGCGCTAGTGTAGCGTGAGGTCTCCGAAATGTCAAATGTTATTGCTTGTTGGTTGACTACGCGGGTTTATTTCTAATTAAAATAATGTTGTGGATAATTGGTAACAATTCGGCTTAATTATGGCAAATATGAGTTATGTGGCAATGAATGTCAGTTATTAAAAGTTTGAGCTTAGAAAAATGATTATGTTCCCATTTTTTCCGAATAAAACGGAACTGCGCGTCACTGTGGCATGGCCTATTATGTTTAGGATATGGTTCTTTTGTGTTAAAATATGATCTAAATGTAACCTTTGATTTCATGTGCGTATTATAAACTTTAAAAGTTACAATTTAGGACCTCACTCAACAGTGGCGCCATCTGGTGAGGCAGAAAACGGTAGCCCTCATTAAACAAATTCCGAAATTATGAGGATTACTTTTGAGGCGTGAATGGGAAGGAGTATTAAAAATTAGCTAACTATACCTGGACAATAAAATTGGTAGAGCTACACTCTTTTTGTTTTGAGGAGATCTTGTTCGGCTGCGATCGTTGAAGTTAAGCAACTTTGGCAGTGGTCGGTCATTGGATGGGTGACCAAAACTCGAGCTCCTCCGAGCTTCGGAAGGCACGTTAAGCCGCTGGTCACGGCTGCATCTGCAGTCGTTAGCACCCACCAATCCGCACTTGGCCGGCGTGGTGGATCATGGCCCAATCTCCTTATTCCATCCATATGGAAGGCCTGTACCCCAGTAGTGGAGACATTAATAGGCTGGTGATATGATGATGATCTATACCTATATCAAATAAGAGGGCTTAATGTCGCACATATTGTTTTAACAAATGATAAATGAATAGTTAACAAAATATTTAAGAAAATTGACCTGTCTACATCACGTATCGCCGAAAGTACTACGTCTAAAAATTAGAAAAAAAAGTGTTTGATTGATATTAATATACCAAATATTTAAAGAAAATGTAACTAGAAAAAAATCCAAGCGGACCAATGCGAACCTATAATGCGAAGATGGCGCTGCCTTGCAGCTTAAGAATGGCTAGAGGAATTGGACGTGGATTTTTTTCTAGTTATATTTTCTTTAGATTTAAACATCAAGCAGTTACATGCTTTAAAAAAAAATATACCTAATATTTGTTTGTGTAAAATTTGGACTTTATTGACAAAACGAACTACTAATCTGATGTAAAGAAAAGTTTACGGAACGGGATCGTCTGCTGCCAGGTCCGCGTGGATTTTTTTCTAGTGAACTTTTCTTTAGATTTAAAATTCTAGCAGTTAAATGCTTAAAAATAAAAAAAATACTAATCTGATGCTTGTTGAAGTTAAACATGAACGTATTTAAACCAATGTTCTGTTATACAAAAAGAAAAACAATATTATTACAGTTCATGAATAACTCAATTTCCAAATCTTTACCCATCATTTGATTGTACATACCTAACTCTTTGCTGTATTTCAATGACAAAATTGTAGGTAATTAAAAGATCTACAACTTTTGGTATTTACAATTTTTAGTAACTTCTTATAAAAACATCAGAAAGTTGGTTATTTTTTTGGTTAAATAAATATATCTGTATATATTTATATATGACTAGTGGCCCGCCCTCGCTTTGCTTCGGTGTAGAGCTGTAGTGTAGACTATAGTTTTTGTTCAAAGGCTTGTATTACACACAATGACTTTCTTCATAATAATTATAAACCTTCCATTCCAAGTAAAAAATTCGTTGTTTACTTTATGACCCGTTGTCCCGTTGTACCGAACGCAATATTTCTTTGCTGATTGGATTAAAAAAAAATCGTTTTTGTATTGGACAGTGCATTTATAGAGGAATCCTATATATTACCAGGCTACGACCAGTAGCAGCGGAACATCAAAGAAAAATGTTGCAAAAACGGTTAAAAAAATCCATTTGTGACATTCCGTTGCGTGCTGGGCAAACGGTTATAGTTACACAAAAATCATGTATATCGGAATTCTTCCCCTTTGAAAGTTCTGTTAAAAAGTCCGCGACTACCTATGCCCATATTTTAAGTTTGACTCACTATAAACCTTTTTCTTCAAATTAATGCGGGTGAAACCGCAGGGAACCTCTAGTTGTGACATAACTGCAATAGTTGGACATATGGTATTGCAGACTTTTTTGTAGATATTGATATCCTCGTGCCGTGTAGTGCCGGCCTAGATAGTGCCGTGTAGTGCCGGCCTAGAATAGGATAGCACTACCCCCTCTCATCCCGTGGGTGTCGTAAGAGGCGACTAAGGGAAACTTCACCTAAGGAGATGGGCAGCAGCATCTCCTTATGCGAACCGGTATACTGCGATCGCCAACCCGCCTGCCAAGCGTGGCGATTATGGCAAAACCCCCCCCATATGAATCGAAACAACACAAAACGGCCCCTAGTCCCCGGCGGTCCCGCTATTCCTGGCTACGGTAGCGGCCACGGTAACGGCGGGGCAGGGGGTGCGAAGAATCCCCGGGTAGGACACGGCTACCACAACAACCGATTACTGGCCCTGGCAACCTACAACACGCGCACACTGAGGACCGATGCCAAGATGATAGAGCTGGAAGAAGCTATCAGCAAGTTACACTGGGACGTCATCGGGTTATCTGAAGTCCGAAGAGAGGGAGAGGACACGATAACTCTGGACTCCGGTAACTTGCTGTACTTCCGGGAGGGCGACCAACAGTCCGTAGGTGGTGTCGGGTTTATCGTCCACAAGTCCCTCGTCAACAACGTGCTGACCATCGGTAGTGTTTCGAGTAGAGTAGCGTACTTGGTACTCAGAATATCATCACGATATTCGATGACTGTCATCCAAGTCTACGCTCCAACCTCAAAACACACCGATGACGAAGTGGAGACTTTGTATGAGGAGATCTCTCGGGCCATGCATAGCCACAAAACCCACTACACGATTGTGATGGGGGATTTCAATGCAAAGTTGGGGAAACGTTGCGGCGACGAGCTGAGAGTGGGGCAATTTGGATTTGGGGAACGGAACCATAGGGGCCAGATGCTGGCGGACTT